GCGGCCTCCGCTCTGTGCGCGCCGGGCGCACGTGGATGCCGGGGGCGGCGCGTTCGCAGCCCACCTTTAGACGGCAAAGGGAGGCTTTCCCTCGGCCCCTGCGTGGCACTGCGTGGCTTTAAAGCGCTGCGTGGGACTCGGTGTCCCCGGAGAGGCTGCCCGCCTGGGCCGCCCCCCAGGCTCAGAACAGGCCCTGGGTGGGCAGCAGGGGCAGAGGTCACGGGAGGGTGAACCTGCAGGGCCGCGATGCGAATGCCCTGTCCGTGTGCAGCCCCGTGGCACGTGGGGCCAGGGACCCACATTCCTCAAAGATGCTGGCCCAGACGTGCTCAGGGGAGGGTCTGGAGTGAGTCACGGAAACCTGAGAAAGGCTGCATCCATGCCCCTCTTCGCCTTAGGAGACTGGGTGTCGCTCACGGAGACATGGTCCAAGACTATACCCTGTCTGCTGTGCATCCAGTACCGGCTGCCTAAGGTCTCCGAGGGTGAGGCACCGAGGGGGCACAGCTGGCACAGGAAAGAGGAGTGAGCTCCCCAGACGCCTCCCACAGCTTCCAAGTAGAGACCATGGGCATATGTGTTACTTATCCAAAGAAAGAAAAGTTTTCAGCCAGTGAAAGGCTCTGAAAATCCCTGCACTGAAGAGACTGGCTTAACTTTATGCAACCTGGCCTCCTTTTCCAAACTTAATTAACTACAGACCATTTTGTTTGTTTGTTTGGATTTTCTGTTCACTTGTTTTTGCTCTGGGTGCCACCTGTTTACATGCAGAAGAAGTGCAAATTTCTCACTAGCAGAGCAGGAAGCAGAGGCCCAGAGAGGGCAAGGAACTTGCCCAAATTCCCATGGTGAGGTAGCGGTGGGACCAGCTCCCAGCCCCTAGCCTTTCCAGAAGAGTCTGGGTGCAGGGACACAACAACCCTCCCTCCCCCCACACCCCTTCCCTCTCTGTGGCCCTGGTGTCCTCCCACGCGACGTGGCTCCTCCCACCAGCAGCCCGGCTTATTGTGAATATTTGTAACTTGGCCAGGAGGACTGGATGGAAGCCTTGGAAAATGAATCTGTGGTTAATTATTTTCTCATCAAGAAGCCTAAGCTTAAGCAGGGCTCAGAGATAAGGCACAGAAACTAAGAGGGCCTCAGATAAGTGGACAGAGAAGTGAGGGCACATGGGTCTGAGCAGGACAGGTGGCTGGGTGCCCCTGGGTGCCCGACATTCCCTAGGAAGCTACAGAGTTCCTGTAGGCGCCACACTCACTCATTCACATGCATAGTTACACAGACACACACACACACACACACACACACACACACACACACACACACTCCCACTGTGGGCATTGAGCCAGGCAGGAGGTGGACGGGGCACACCCGCTTCCCCACAAACAGCAGAGCCTGCTCCTCCTTCTGTCCCTGGGCGTCCACAGCACTGGGGGAGAGCTTGTGATTAAGCACCACCTCCATGTTGTCCTCTGTGGATTCTGCTACATTCATTTTCTCTCTAAAACCACACCCAGAAGCCTCGGCCCGTAGCCTCGACCTGCTGGGCTCCCACGATCCTTCCACCTCAGCCTTCCAAGTAGCTGGAGCTACAGGCATGCACTACCACGCCCGGCTAATTTTTTGATTTATTGTAGAGATGAGGTCTCGCCAAGTTGCCTAGACGGGTCTTGAACCCGCAGGCTCAGGCAATTCACTCACCTCAGCCTCCCAAGGCATGGGATTACAGGCTGAGCCACCGAACCTGGCTAGAGAGAGGGGCAGCTGCAGGGTGATAGAAAATATCAACCTTGTGCCACAGCCCGGGGTCCTATCCCAGGCTCACCACCGTGACTGTTGTTCTCTGAGTCTTCATTTCCCTGTCTGCAGGAGGCAGATGGTGAGTAATCCCAGCCACATCTAGAGAGGAGGTCGGTCCAGGAACAGAGAAAGTGCCTCGGAGACCTACATTTGGCCTTAACTCTCTCCTTGGACAAATTCCTTCCTCTTTTCATTTCTACATTTGGAAAATCGCATAGTAGCCCCCCTTTGTGGAAGGAAATGTCTCTGAACTGAAGTTCCTCCATGTGTGAAATGGGTACAGGAATGTGGCTCTTCTTCCCGATTCATGGAAAGGTGTGTCCCTGAGTCTCCAACAGGTCCACATCCCACCATCTCTGGCCCCACTGATCCAAGCCCCACACCCACCGGTGGGATCTGAGCTACAACATGTTCTCTACTCTGCAGCCAGAGAAAGGGTTTTTCGGTTTTGGTTTTGGGTTTTTAGTTTTTTTGAGTTGGAGTCTCACTCTGCCACCCAGACTGGAGTGCAGTGGCATGCTCTCGGCCCGCAGCCTCGACCTGCTGGGCTCCCGCGATCCTCCCACCTCAGCCTTCCAAGTAGCTGGAGCTACAGGCATGCACTATCACACCCGGCTGATTTTTTGATTGATTGTAGAGAGGAGCGCTCGCCAAGTTGCCTAGATGGGTCTCGAACCCGCGGGCTCAGGCAATTCACTCACCTCGGCCTCCCAAGGCACGGGATTACAGGCTGAACCACCGAGCCCGGCTAGAGAAAGGGTTTCAGAAACAGATTTCTCTCGGCGTAAAACCTCCCAAAGGTTTCCTGCCAGACTGGAATCAATGCCGACTGCCCCCCAGACCCTGACAGCTGCTCTGCTTCCCTCCTGCCCTGTCCCATTCACTCACTCTATTGCTGGAACAGGTCAGCTCTTCCCACCTCAGGGCCCTTGTCCAGCCTGCTTCCCCTTCCTGGACTGCTTGTGCCTCGTCTCCGGGCACGGAGGGAGGCTTCTAGCTATCATCTCGGATCAAATGGGACAGGAGCCTCCAGGCAGGGAGTCCCACACACCTCTTCAAAGCCACTCTGTGCTATGTAGGGGCCAAAGGAAAGCTTCCCCTTTGCCGTCTAAAGGTATGCTGCAAATATACTGACAAAGGAGATTCATGGAAAAAGCATAAAAGTGCATTCAATGTGCACAAGACAGAGGGTTCGTAGGACAATAATTACCCAGTAACCTGTGAGGTCCAGGTGCTTCATAAGGGAAGGGGGGATGGGGGATGGGGGGGAAGTGATTTTTAGGAGAGATGAACATCCTGAGAGGCAGACATTATGTTGTAAATGACTTTCTTTGGAAGTTGATGGGACCAGAGAAGAGACAGTAGTTTGGGACAAAGTTTGTCCAGACTAGAAGTGTTGTGTTTAATTTTCAGTCTCTTCCTCTGTGGTATGAAATTATTTTATGTTATTATTATTATTATTATTATTATTTTGCTTTTTATTGTGTTTTGTGACATGAATTTTAATCCTCTCTGGTTAATGAACTTTCAGGGAGGGGATCGAAGGCAACTGTGTACCTTTCTGGACATTCAGTGTCTAGGTAGATAAAGGACTTTCAGAGAACAGCCTCCTCCCGTGCTTTGGAAGAGACAGGAAGGTGGTCCGAGGGACCATGAGGCTGCTTCTTCCATTCAGCATGTCAACACGCCATGTTTTGGGGTATCACTGTCTGAGCCCCAACAGCCACTTTCTCTCTGACAGTTTCCTGGTGCTTGCTTTGCGGGCTGACCCACTTGTTGCTTGCTTCCACCCCAAGAACAGAGCCATCCCCGGTTAGCAGGAGTGGGCTGGAATGTTCCAAGAGCTGTGGGGATGAGGAGAGGAGAAGGGAGGAGAGGAGGTTGGAAAAGTATTGCGAGGAGGGCACAGAGCAGAAGGTCTTGAAGGTCACGGTCAAGACTTTGACTTTCACTTTTCTCAGTAGCAATACTGTGTTTTTATTGTCTCCCTGAAACTGGCCACAAAGTCCACAGAAGCAGGGATCTACTTTTCGTTCATTCCTTCGAGGATGCCCCGGCCACAGCACCTCCTCTGCTCTTCTTTGGCCGCCTCTGACTGCATCCAGGAATGTGGGTCTGGATTATCTAGTCCGTGAATGTGGAAACGTGACGAACCTGTGCTCCCTGGTCCCAGCCCTCAGGCCTGACCATCTCCTCACCAAGAGCAGGGCTTAGGTCACATCGGTCACAACACAGGACCTGGCACTCAGTAGGTGTTCTACGGGAGGTTGGTGAATGGACCCAGGATTCAGGAGAATTCCTTCTGGTGGGCTGCACCACGCCAGAGCCAGAAAGCCCAGTGTTCAACTCCTACTACAACACGTCCTTGTGATCTGGGACAAGTTCCTCAACCTTCCTCCACGCCTCATCTGAGGGGTCTAGCACAGTCCGAGCACAGGGCAGATGCTGAAGGCATATCTTCGACTGAATTCATCCAGTGATGACTTCATTCCCGTAGGGCACCTTCATACCTAGACCTTCACTGGGACCTCTTCTATGGGTAGGGGGTGTTGGGGAGGCTATTGTGCCCCATCACAGGAGTCTGGGATGAAAAAGTCTTTAAGGCTATCAGTTTAGGCTGGGAGTAGTGGCTCACACCTGTAATCCCAGCTCTTTGGGAGGCAGAGGCTGGAGGATCGCTTAAGCCCAGGAGTTTGAGGCTGCAATGAGCTATGATCACGCCACTGCATTCTAGCCTGGGCGACAGAGTGAGACCCGGTTTCTAAAAAAAATTTAAAAATAAAACAAGTTTTTAAAGACTACCATTTAAATATTGGGGAGAAAAATAAAATTAAAAAATATTGGGGAAACTCAGGCTGCTGTGGCCCAGCCGAGACAGCAGAGTGCCAGGAAGCAATGTGGGAATTGTCAACAAGAGCCACCCTCCACCAGCAGGTGATTGCATCTCCCGGAGAGCTGAGCACTCCTGCAAGGACCAGAGGAAGGGGTGGCCCTGTCCCCATCCCCACCTTCCCTTTCCCCATAGCTGCCCCAGCAGCCCTGACAGCAGGAGTGAAAATGCCAACTCACCACCACCCCAGTTCAGACCAATTGCAGAGATTTATGCCTGCCTGGCCTTGTGCTGAGCCTGGGGCTAGGAGCAGGGCTGATCTGGGGGGTGGAGGACCAGGGTAGGTGCAGAGGGCTGGACCAGGAGACGAGGGATGGGGCTGGGAGGGCCTGGGAGAAGACAGAGGAAAGAGAAGCTGGGCTTCTCCAGCCTAGCTGCCCCTCGCTGAGGCTGTGCTGCCTGGCCATGTTACCTCTCCTCGCTGGGCCTCGGTTTGCTCCTCTGCACCTCAAGGAGATGCCCATCCCAGCACACATACCGTGCCCCCGCTCCACCTGAGAGAAGCTCCCAAGAGGGTTTGCCAAGGACAGTCACAGGAGCTCCAGCCCCCCGCCAGCATCACTAAAGAGGGTGTCCCGGAGGAGATGGCTGGAAGGCTGCCTGGGGCCCCAAATTCCAGAGAAGGGCCTGTGGAATCATCCAGGCTGAGTCAGCAGGAAAGGGCGGGCCGGGGGACCGGCAGCTCTGAGTCACTGGGGCTCCACGGGCTGGTGTGCCTTTCTCTGCCGCCCACCCGGCCACAGAGTCCCAACCTGTAGTCATCCCCACCTGAGTTCAAATTCCAGGTCAGTGAGGTCGTGAGGTTGTGACCCTGAAGGGTCTGAAGCAGCAGCAATAACGGCTGTGTTCATTAGAGGAATGATTTTATGTAAAGTGTTTGGCACAGAGTTGGTGCCCAATGACAACGAGAGCAAACACTTTTGAGTACTTGTTATGCACCCAATATATTATGTACAAGCTTTTCCAGAGTTAGCTTCGTAAATCTTCTTAATGAACCCTGAGGTCAATCCTCTTATTATCCCCTTTTTCAGATGATGGAACAGGTTTGGCGAGTTCCGCAGCTAAAAAGGGAGGTGTTGAGTACAGGGTGAGGGTCTGTCCTGCCGGACCCCCCACCCTGCAGCCCACGTTGTGACCCTCCCCCACCCGCCAGCACAGTTCCCTGCCTGGTCTCTATGCCCAGCCCTGTCTGGGGATCAGGGGACACGAACAAATCAACCCAGGCGCTGCCCTGAGGAAGCAGGGCACACCAACCACTTCGGGACTAGTTGCTTCCGGGATAAGAGGAGACAGTTTCAGCTCTGCCCGGGGGGCATCAAATGCTAAAACTAAAGGAGAGGGTGGTGCAGGCAGAAGGAACAGCCAGTGCAAAGTCCCAGAGCCCGGAAACTCACGCTAGTTTCCCCAAGAAGCCTCGGTTCTCACTTGCTTTAACTTGCATCCTTCCCAGCCATCAGTCCTGTTCACCCTTGTCCTCATGACTCAGAGTCCCCTTCACCTGGGGAAGAGCTGAGGTGATGGGCTGTCCCTGCCTGGAAGGCTGGTGAATAATTGTCCCACTGATGTTCACGCTACACCCGCACCAGGTGCTGAACTCATTCCATCTCATGCTATCCCAGGGGGCGAGGCCTGTCCCTATCCCACGTACAAGCAAGGAAGCCGAGACTCAGGTAAGGTCATGGGCAGAGCTGCCTTATGTCAGCTTCAACACGCACCTGGGAAAGTAAGCAACCTCTGTGTGGCCGAGGAAACCCGGATTCAAACCCCTTACTCT